AATACATGTTGTTTAGATGTTTTCCTGATTTGTAAGGACATTTCGATTGGAAAGGAATTTCCGTGTAACATTTATGTTGAAATATCATGATTATATAAGTTAAAATCCAATTTAACATATTCAATTTCATTGGAGCCTTTCCTTAATAAGTTCTGGTTATTTCACTTAGACATTGGGTAGAATTTGGTAAAGATGTTGAGTAGACTTAAGAAGGACAGAATTCAGATATCCTAAAACCGTGTTTTTCTGTTTACTAGCTCCAGCACTACCATTGTCAGAAAACACTGTAAAGCACAGTGCTTTGTAGCGTGGTTCGTTCTCAATTGAATGTGAATAGGATTTAAATAGGACTCAATAAGGAAATACTTGATCAGAATCCTACTTGAAATTACATCTTACATTTAGAATTTAGATGTAAATCCTTTCCCAATAGAACATTACAATTAAATTAGAGGTCAAACATAATTTGACAAGGAATGAATCCAATCACAACTCCTGCTACTGTTTCATAATTTGAATTAGAATAATTCTAGTTTGATTCATGATTTACACAGTATGGTCTTTCCAATCAAACTTATGTACAACTCAGCTGACCTTTAAACACACATTATCACATTATGGAAACATAGTTCAACTCAAGGTTCCACTGGAATAAAATTGTGCATGTACTTGCATGCCATCACACAATCAAAAGACTGTACATCTAAATATCTGTGCTGCAACAACGCCGTTTCTAGGAACCTGAAAATCGCAGCCCCAAGAAATCCAAAAAGGCAGCCCCCAGAAATCTGAAAAGCGTCGCCCCCAGGAACCTGCAAAACGCAGCCCCCCAATCTGAAGACGCAGTTGCCAGAACGACCCACCCTCCATGCAGCTGTCTCTTGAACTCGAAGGAGTTAAAGCCAAAGGCAGTTGCAAAGCGACTGTTGCTTTCACTTTGCATTTCTATTCTCTTTCAGATGTCGTACATCTTGGGGCAAGGAAAAGAACCGCCCTTTGAGGGGAGGCAACACCGTGATTGTGCCTGGCCGAAAACTTTAAGAGGAATTCTTCCAAGAGGGGCTGTGCTGTTTGTTGGGGGTAAGCTACTCCGTATACAAACGTGCCAACTCGGTCACACATGGTCCGAACCCCGCGACTCGGGCGCTGGCAAGTGACGAGTTTCCCCCCACGGGCATATCGGGGCGCCCAAAGTTCTGGACGCCCCGAGGTGCGGACAACACCCATATCAAGAACCACGTGCCTGTGAAACAGCAACCAATTGCAACCCCTTTGCTCTTCTTCTTGTTGGATGGCAACGACCTCTAGTCAGTAGCCTCCAACTACCCAGGAGTCTTCCTGGCTGAAACTAATTCGGAGCAGGGAAGCAAGAAGATATGAGCACCCCCGTGGTATGGTCCAAGACTGCTTGTCCGTGTGATCTCAGTCCACTGAACACACTTACGACCAGGGAAAGCGACATCTCGCCAAGCGTCGCAAAATGCAAAGGGCCCAAAGTTTGGGCAGTCCTTCAAACAAAAACCCGGTCAAAGTCGAGACTGGTGGGAGTTCAAAACCACCATCCCGACACCTAACCGACAAGCCGAGGTAAAGGCAACTGCCCTGCATACAGCAGCTGCAGTTGACACGGCATGTGAAGAAATATTCTCAGCGCTTGAGAAGCAGCTGAACAGAGCACGGGGATGCTCCCCAGTATATCTCACAAAAAAGTTACGCCTGGACTAAATCGCTCTTCAGAGCGCGCCTATTTGGAGACAAAAGTGCGAATGGGCTCAGGCTTTTGAAGACAAAACTTGTCAGATCGTGCGCTGTGCGAAATCGCCACAGAGGGGCCTGTGAGCTGTTAGGCGTCCAGAGTCTCAAAGAAGAGGACGGAGGCGCTGGTCTTCTCGGAGGAAGTGGGGCACACGTCCATCGCCTCTGAAATGCGTGAATTTTAGGAAGCCTTTGGTGGACTCATTGCCTTGAACAGCACAGGTAAGAAGTCGAGCGAACAACGCCCTGAACTTAGTCCTGAACCCAGCCAACAATCTCAAACCCGGCCCAGAAACCAACCCTAAACCCAGCCCTCACCAAACCCTGCACACCCAACCCTGCACACCCAACCCTGCAAACCTAGCCCTAACCAACCCAAAAATCCCCAGAGCCTCTGAAACATCTTGGTGGGATTGGAAAGGAAACACTTTCCAGCTTCAGCTACCATCTTACAGTTCTCGGAGAACCCACCTGGAGAATCATTCGGGGAGGAGACAAGTCCCAGAAATGTTGCGTGTCTGAATCCAACCAACCAAGATCAACAACTTCCATGTGCTCAAAGTTCCCTGGAAAAGATGGCACATATTTCCAGCAATACAGTCGGGTGGGCGAGGCACATCAACTTGATTGAAATGTGGTTCGCTCCTATGTGGCAAAGTCGATGCGAGCAAGTCACATCAGGGTCACATCACCTCCACGTTTAGGTTGCGTTTAATCGTTTGAACCATGCTGCAAGACTGATGCC